CAATTCTATAGTTGAGTTTTCTCAGAGGTAATGGAGAGAGAGGTTCTCCTCCTCTTCTACTCTGCCCTGGTGAGTCCGCATCTGGAATATTGTGTCCAGTTCTGGGCCTCTCAGTTCAAGAAGGACAGGGAACTGCTGGAGAGAGTCCAGCGTAGGGCTACAAAGATGATCAAGGGAGTGGAGCATCTCCCTTATGAGGAGCGGCTGAGGGAGCTGGGTCTCTTTAGTTTGCAGAAGAGGAGACTGAGGGGAGACCTCATTCATGTTTATAAATATTTAAAGGGTGAGTGTCACGAGGATGGAGCCAGGCTCTTCTCGGTGACAAACAATGATAGGACAAGAGGTAATGGGCACAAGCTGGAACACAGGAGGTTCCACTTAAATTTGAGAAGAAACTTCTTCTCAGTGAGGGTGACAGAGCACTGGAACAGGCTGCCCAGAGAGGTTGTGGAGTCTCCTTCTCTGGAGACATTCAAAACCCGCCTGGACGCCTTCCTGTGCAACCTCATCTAGGTGTTCCTGCTCCAGCAGGGGGATTGGACTAGATGATCTTTTGAGGTCCCTTCCAATCCCTAACGTTCCGTGATTCTGTGTAATGATGTAAGGTTACAATGTCTAACTTGCATAAGCTATAGTTGACCAAATCAAATACAATTGTGGACAAAATCTTAAAGAATATGTCCTATACTGGTGTCTGCCTGCTGTATGTTTGTGAAAAAAGGAGTATGCGTATGACGTGTTTGTATATGAATCTATGATCAGTTAGGTTCTATGTAAAAGTGAAAATTGCTCATCTTATTTCTTGCCCGCCTCCGTCCACCAGTTGACCTCTGCCTGCTTGCATCATCTCTCTCCTTGTGAGGTTTGTGCTAACGTGTGTGAGATGGGCTGTGCTCTATGCTGAAAGCGGTTGGTTGCTTCCTCTGTTGAGGAGGATGGGCACCAAGCTGTGTAGCAGGAAAGAAAGGGTTGTTCTGTTTATAGTCTGCTTTCTTAGCAACAGAGTTAAAATGTCATGAAAACTATACAGCAAGGTACAGATTTACAAAGGAAGACAGAATAAAGGAGGATGCTTCTGCATTACCTTATGTGATCATACAGTAGTGCTGCTCCCTCTCCTACATGAGGTCAGGCCTGCCGTGACTCTGGTACAGCTGTCTCTGTACTTCAGTGTTTCTTAACCAGGGCCTGCTTGCTGGGTACATTTTCACTGGGTAAAACAAGAATTCCTCAGCATACCTGACTCTGACGGGCCTCTCAAAAGCAAAACTTGCTGCCCTCTTCTGTCTTTCCCATGTGGGTTTTTAGTTCAGGACCAAAGACCATAGAATAATTAAGGTTGAAAAAGACCTCTAAAGTCATCAAGTCCAACTGTCAAACCAACACCACCATGCCCACTAAACCATGTCCCAAAGTGCCACATCTACACATTTTTTTGAACACCTCCAGGGATGGTGACTCCACCACTTCCTTGGACAGCCTGTTCCAATGCTTGACCACACTTTCAGTAAGTGAGGAGGCGTTAATATCTTGCTGGTTACAGTAGAGAAGATGAACAACCAAACATACCTGGAAGTGGTGTTTACCTTGGAGTTTTCAAGCTCAAGTAATGTGAAAGGTTCAATGCAACAATGCTCAGTGCGCACTCAGTTTAGTTCACTGCTTACCCTGTGCGTGTGAGCTATGGTCTGTGTTGTGACTGATCTGCTGAAGCTTTCAGACATCTTACACTCCTTCATTTGTTTATTGTAGGAATAGGAGTTTATAGTAATGTTGTTTATACTAAAGATGGGTGAACAGCAATAAGAGAAACCATTGTGAACTCAAACCAAACTCCTTTGTGACTTTTAAAGTTCTGATTCAGTTTTTGGTGTCACTCTACTTTGTTCTGTCAGGACTGTGAATGAGTGCCAAAATATAAATGATATTTCTAGTGTCAACCTTGGATTTCATGAGCAAATCTGCTCTCATGCTAGGGAGTGCAGAGTTTCTTAGACCTCACAAGTTTCAGCAGTGAGTATAACCTTTCCCACTCGTGCTGCTCAGTGCAGCTAACTCAAAGCGCTTCCCCAGTGTGGTTGCCCATCGCTATTTCATACAGGAGAAGATACTGTCGTATACCTATGGCACAAGGTGCTGTTTATTGAACTAATAAGAATTTATAGGAGAATGTGTGCAGATGATTGCTTGCAGGTGAAATACTGAAACAAAGTGCTGTGTAGCTGCGCTTCCCTGCTGTTCATGCAAGGGAATAGTGACTGTCCAGCTTTGGCCTCCTTCCTGCTAAAAGGGTCACAAGCCTGTCAGCCAGTTCTTCTGTGAAATTATAGTGGGGCCGCCCAGTGCAGGATAGGAAAGTTAATTCTCTTGTTAGGCTCTATCAGTTTTGCTTTGAGGAGGAAAAAAAAAGAAGCGATTAATGTGTTTCTGGAACCTGAGTTTCTCCAAATTTATTTGCTGTCCTGCAGGTTTTTCTGTTTCATATTCCAGATGTGGGTCCAGTGTTGAACTATCCATCTAGCAGAGACTGATAGATTAGCAGGGCCAATCTTGGGAGTAATTAGTTCAGGTTGTGCCTGTTTTCCTCCTTTCTGCGGCAGAGGAGGAGCAGTCTTCCTTTCCTCATTCCCCCTTTCTGTTTATTGTTGTATCAGCAAATGATCTGATGTTTGTTTTAACACTGAGATGAAGCTGAATTCGCTGCTGTCCAGCACTCTTTAAAGTTAGTGTGCTACTTGAATATTTATATCATGCTGACATTTGCTTACTTTAGAGAAGGCTTTATTTCCTTGGAATATTTATCATAGTATCCAGGAATTTCCAGGGAAGATGCTGGATCTGAATGTTGTGTATAATTACATGGGTTCAAGCCCAGTTGCCTAAGGGAAGTTAACTTTCAAAGGACAACAGCTAGCTCTGTGGCATTAGCTTGCTGAAGGAAGAGCTGGCAAGGATTTTTTTTCCTGGACCAACATGAAGCATCCTGGAAAGAAGCCTCACACCTCACTTCAGCTATATAGGTACCTTTTGTCTAGCTCATTATGCTAAAAGTAGAGTCTCCTTTGCCTGTGTACCTGGCATCATGGTTGAAGCACCTATATCTGATGTGATCTGTTGACCTAGTTATGGTCTGGAACGGAAAATAAGATTTGACATCTTTTACATCCTGTTTTTCCCCCTGATTTCCACCAGCCCCTTTCCCGAAGGTTATGGGGGGGGAGGGTTGGTGCAGAATAATCCAGTTTCTGCCTTCCTGACACACTTTGTGCTCTGACCCGCTTTGTGCACAGAATAGAAATGACCAGCTTGAGGCTTGATCAGATCTCAGCCTCCTGTAGTTTCCCATCAGCTTATATGACTCTCTTGGGCTTCTGGGGCTAGAACTGCTCTTTTGCTGCTGTGCATAAAGAGGCACCATGATTTATGAATCAATTAATCACTGCATACTGAGGATCTGTTCATGGTAGTTAAACAGTGAAAATAAAATGGTTGAGTATATAATAAAGATGGATCTTAATGAATATGACCCTGTACCAATGAATTCTTTCCCTCCCTATATTATACCCCCTACCCAAAACCCTCTTTCCCAGCACAGCCAAACTATCAAGACATGAGGTTTGTCTATTTTGGATGGCATGGGGTTCATCAAATTACTTGATAAGCATAGTGTCTGTTTGTGTAATTTCCACCCCTGTACAGGCACTCTTCTAGTCTGATTTCAGTTTGCTGCTAAAACTGATAAAGCCACTGATAAAGTGGGGGGGGGGGAATGAAAATACCGATTTGTAAATCTTTTTGTGTAGTCATAAGAAAATCCACCAAGTCCTCTCCAAAACTTGGGGAGAAGGGGAAGTCTGGCCTGCTTAGTCTGTAAAACCACAAAAATGTGGTGTAAAATTTCCAAGAAATATCTCCATCACATAACCATCATTGTCTGCGTAACTCAAACATCATTGCTGTGTGTTTCTAAAACTGCACAATGCTGTAAAAACTAGGCAATTTTGGTGCTAAGACTGCTCTTTGGCTTCACAACTTACTGAAGCCTTTGCAACTTAGGCCATCATTCAGTGACTGCAGTCAGTCAGGGTGGTGTATTGCCCTGTGGAGAACACCACTGATATTCAAAGATCTACCTATGAGGTAAGGAGGCAAGAGGTTTTTAAACTTGATCTTGACTTTTTTAAACTCAGCGGTTTTGCACCAAAACTATGCTTTCCATGAAGAAAATTATTCATTACAAATTATTCACCCTTATGTGTTCTATTTCTAAAATAAAATTACATTTTCTTTTACACTATCAATAGATACCCAAAATAGTGGTAGAACATTTCATTAACAAAAAAAGGGGGTTATTCCTGGCTGAAAAATGTATTCTTGGTAAATGAAATGCTGAAAAGCTCTTGAAAACCTTATCAAATATCCATTTGTTTTGAATTCAGAAAAGGATTTTGGGAGAGTGATGGTACTTCTCTTTTTTCATTTTTTCTTTATAGGCAGGCTTTGAAATGTTATATTTTTGTTGCAGAGTATTTCCTGGGTTTCCTGAGTACCAAAAGCTGGTGCCGATGAGTAGCTGGATTTGCGAACCTTGCTACAAGCCCGCTGGTTTTAGTGGAGTTGTTCTTGATCTCACCTGTGTAACTAAAAGTAGACTTCATTCAAGCCAGAAATTAGGTGCAGTGGGGTGAATCAGGTTAATTCTTTCTTTCTGCCGTGCATTGAATCTTGTAGTGAAACTATAAGATTTGCAATTTATCAGTAAAGGTAAAAGATTTTTTTTCTTTCCAGCACAATCTAGTTTCTCATTTTTGTTCAGCTCTGCTGCTGGCATATGTTGACTATATATAATGGCCTTTGTTTGCATTCTGAGCTTATCTCACAAATTGGCTTTTGAAATGCACAATCAGCAGTAATAATGTTTCACTGTGGTGACCATGGTTAAACGTTTCTCTCCTGTTCCCCCCTCCTTTCTCTGTTTCTTTTTTTTTTTTTTTTTTTAGGACCCAGGTTTCTCTTCGGTGATTCATGACAAACTCCAGGTTCCCAACACCATTCGTAAGGCATGGAATGAGAAGGACAACAGATGTGATGTTTGTGCCACGCACCTGAACCAGTTGAAGCAAGAGGCCATTCAGATGGTGCTCACCTTAGAGCAGGCTGCCAACTCAGAACATTATGATGCCTCGCCAGGCTCTCCCCCACCTCTTTCCAATGTCCCCACATTAGTAAGTCCCCGACACATGGGCAGCCTGCAGCCCAGGGACTGGGCGTATGTGCCTGCTCCTTATGCTACATCTAATTACACAGGCTTTGTTGCCAACAAACACAGTGGAAAACCCAACAGTCTGGGTATTGTCAACGGGGTGGAGAAGAAAAATGGCTCTCCTGGACACCAAGCCAAGGTCAACTTTCAGATGGCCACCAGCCCCAGCAATGGTAATGTCCTCAACTCTGTGGCTATCCAGGCTCATCAGTACCTCGATGGCACCTGGTCTTTGTCAAGAACGAATGGTGTCACTCTGTATCCCTACCAAGTAAGTATTTTGTTTTCTTTCCATCAAAGTTTGCATAGGCATGCTAACACTGCCTGCTCCTCTTCGGGACAAGTAGAGACATTCACATAGTGAGCACCGGAACAGAGAGAGCTATAAATTCCTTTTCCCCTAATAAAGGATTGAGTTGAGGAAGACACAGATCACAATCCATATTAATTAGAACATCTTTTGTAAATTCAGCTGATTTATTAATAATAGAACAAAACTTGTTATTCATAGCTGATAGCTGTTCACACAGTATATGCAATTATTCCCTCACGCAGTTCACACCCACTCTTGTTCATAATGCTTGGTTGGAGCCACAGCTGGGCAGCCAACCACACTTGTTTACTCACAAGTGGAAAGCATCACTGGTGCACCAGTGACTTCTGTGTGGGTGTTCAGGAAGTACCCAGAGAGTCCTTTGGTTCATCATGTGTGCATATAATCCTAAAGTCTTTGTCTAAATATAGAAGACGCTACGTTCATTCATGTGCTCTAAGTTACATATATTCCTATTGATGCTTGTGTGTGCTGCAGATTTGACTGATTCTTGGTCAAAGAATTTTGATTTTTGTCAATTCTCATGGATTCAGCAGATCCATCAGTCTCCAGGGCTTAGCAGTTCTGGAGAGATTTTAATGTACTTCTCAGCATGTTCTTTTCCTCCTCTTTGGCCTTCTGTTTTCTGATACACTGCACCCAGAAGCTCATGCGGAAGGGGATTTTATGACAGGAGGTGGGCTTTCTGAGGCACTTAGCCGCAGGCAGTGGGATTTTCAGAGTGCACAAGCACTGCCAGATTGCAACACAAGCCCATTCTTTTGAGTTCTCCCAGTCATCCCTGTTGGCTTCTTTAGGCACATAAATATCTTTGGAAGTTGGTCTTTCTATTAAGTTATGACCAGATAGCAAGATAAATCACTAAATAAATATTTAACGTTTATCAGTATTAGAGCAACTGACATTGCAGCCAGAAAAAAGCAATGTTATTCATAAGCATTAAGATATTGTCATGCACCAAAGAAGATGTGGTAAAACAAGAAGTGAACCACAGTTATTTTATCTGGAAAATATGTGACTTTATAGTTTTGTGGATCTATGCTCTAGTGAACCTGAATCACATTTGAGCAGGTCAGTACCTGATCATAGTTTGATCTAAGAAAAAAACCTAACCAAAGAATGAACATTAAGAAAGCTGAATAGTTATTATTCCTATTAGGAAAATCAGTTCAGTTTTATTGCATTCACAGTCTTTTAGGTTAATCTTCTATGAAAATATGTTTTGTTTACTTTTTAATAATGTTCTGGATTCCTAGATGGTTCATTATGTCTTGCAAATATTCACTAAGAAGAGTCTAATATTCAAAACTTTCCAGACTGATCCTGTAATTTGGCTCCAGTTAGATTAAGGACTGTTCCCCACCATTTCCCTCTCCAGTCAATAACATCGGAATAGAAAAGGGAAAAAAAATAACACCTGGAGTCTGGTAGCAGATTCAGCCTTCTTCCCCTGCCCCCAAACCAAACAACCAACGAAAACTAACCTCAAAAAAGCAAACAAACAAAAAAACCCCAACCCCACACAAACCTTGCAATGTTGGTCTATGTTGATAGTAGTTTTTATATTCTCTACAAGACTGCAACCTTCAAGTGTTGAAATTCTCACTTTACCTAAGTGTCACATTTAATAGTCCAGTCAAGGAACAATAATGATAGCTTTTGCCTTTAAACGTATTGAAAGGATTTTAGTGTTTGGTTATGTAGTATCTGTGTCAGACTAGGAATTAGTCAAGTAAGAAGAAAAACTTTGAAAAATAATTTATTTGTCATTTGAAGTAGTAGGGAGAGGCAAGCTTTGCTTTTTATGCTTTTGTGTATAGAAACCAATCTTATTTGTTATGCATTTTTAGGAACATCTTGGATCTCTCTTTCACATAACTTTTTTTTTATGTGCTTACTATTACAGTTACAAAACTTTACTAGGGAATACCACTAGGAAGATGAATCTGTTAACTTAATTAGAACCCTTCTTGATTTGAAGATTAATTAAATAAGAGGTGTTAGCTACTAACTTGCAAATGTCTATATATTAATCACATTTTCTTGCCTTCCCCTAAGAGTAGCTGAGAGGAATAGAAAACAATTCCTTGGGATAAAAAGTCTCGCACTTCACCCAGAAGTACAGTACTCTTCCACATCATAATCTTGTTAAATTGATGTCCAGGGAGAAGTCAGTCTCATGACTCGAGACTTAATGGCGCCTGGTGTAGACACCTCCCATTGTAAATTAGCTTTTGTTAGACAGTCCAGATAACTTGACAGAAATGGTTGAGTACCTTAAAAAGTGACCGTATTTTCTTCCTTGAGGTATCACCAAAAGGAGAAAACATTAGTTCAGAAGTGACATTCTGTGGCTCAGAATTGACCCACAGCAATATTAGGCACCAAAAGTATTCCTGCTAATAAGTTCAAGGATGTTTCTCCCTTCCTGGGATCTCCTCCAGGCTGCATAAAATTAGAACCTTGTTATAGGGAATGAATGACACCTTTGTTTCAGTTCTGGTAGGACAAAAAAAAAAAGTGTTGTGATACTGTAGGACTCAGCTGCTGCTGTAGCATAGGGCATTTCTTAAATTATATGTCATTATTCAGCTACTTTTGCAGAAAAAATAATTGCTATCAGGACAAACAAATGTGAACTTATATACTGCCAGATGTAATAATTTATTACAAGTTTACAGCCTGAAAAATAAAAGTAGTAATAATGTTCTTAACTGGAGATGCATGTCAGATGTAAAAGAATATTTCTAATAATTTCATGGAGGCACTATGGGAAATCATCAATGGAGCCTCCTAAGAATAAGTCAGAGAAATCATTGCTAAGAATTGCGTAGGTGAAACTGGTCTCACCTGGAGATTGGGAGATGGTGTAGATGACCCCCTCAGTCCTCACCAGTCCTGTTTTATGCCATTCCATGTTCAGCCAGCCCTTGACTTGACAGAACCTAAGATCTGATTCCAAAATCTTGTGATGCCTCCTAGGCCTGGCTCACAAATGAACAGCTGATGCCATTTTGTTTCAGGGATTGAATCAAATTTTACTGCTAAGTGGTTCTCTTACAAAACAGGGAATCAGAGGGGAGGGAAAGGGAATTGATTGATTTTTAAACCAAAAGCAGGGTCTGTTAAAACCTTCCTACAAACACTGAAATGCTGAAGTGGTTACCTGATGATCAGGGCAAGAGTGACCCCTTTCTGTTGAATACATGTAGGAAAATACCAGCCAAAAATTAATAGAATTTGATCCAGAATCTGAAAATCATGCTCTTTGTCATCAGCAGGTAGGATCTGTATACTCTGGGTATCAGAGTGTGTTTTAACGCTTGTAAAGGCCTCTATTGATCTCCGTATCACTCAAAGGGATTTCAGCTCTTCCCTGCTCAGAGAAAACTCATTTAAACTGGTGAGGTCTTACCTGAGAAGGGCTATAATTATTTGTGCAGCTGCTAATGCAAATTACAGGATAGCACAGCGTTAACTACATTTCTGTTGCTTACTGGTTATTACATAACACTTGTAAAGAAAGAAACCTTTGGGCCTAGGGTCCTAGTGTAGGAGCCGTAAGTTCAAATCCCTTGATGAAACATTTGTTTTTGCTTCTCATAATATTGATACAGAATGTGATAATTAATTGAATGCATAACATTTTATTACTTTATTATCCAACGCTGCTGGAGTAGCTAAAACAAAACCACCACATCAAAGACTGAGATAGATTAGGATAAATTTGGGTCCTTAGTAGTTCAGACTGATTTAGGGTTTGCTTTCAAAGGGAAAAGAGTTGAAAATAGTAACTAGATTAAGCTGGTTACACCAAAACACTTTTTCTGGAGTAAGAGCACTCCATTATTTAGAAGTAGTTCCTCTTTGGAATAGGCATCCTCTTTTAATGTAAATTAACTACATGGTGTGACCCTGGCATTAACTGCATTGTTCTGTGAGCTGCCCAACACAAAACGGTTGGCATTTCCGCCATTCTCTACCCACCTTCCTGGATCTGTGTAGAATCTTTTCATGTTTTTAAGTAGATTATTTTGTATGGCAAAACAAAAGTTCATGAGCACAGTGTGTTTGGTAGAATTGAGCGACAGGAAGGTAAGAGAGAACCAGAGAACTGAGAAAGGCCAACGTGGGATATGAGAGGGAAGGATGGGTAACAGAAACGTGACTGTTGGTGTGAGTGAGCACCTCCTGCTCCAGACCTTGAGGTTGTGAAGTTTGAATCTGGTAAGGAGCAAGATAACGCATGTAAGGATTTGAGTAGGGGCATGGTGAACATAACAATATTCAAGGAAAAAGTGTTCCTTTCTCCCCTACACTTAAAAATAACCTTTTGACCAAAAGTTTGGAAAATGAGATCTTAAAACTACTGAGAGCTTCTTGGCCTCAGGCATAATGATCTCAAGCCTATTCAGAGAGTTATCAAAGGCTTTGTTTGTGTACAATTGATTGAAACCCTGCAGTGCTTTCTGTTTCCTCTTTATGTATAATGTGTGTTTAGGAGAACGCTGTTCTCTGAGAAAGTACCCACTTGCTCTGGAGTTTTGTGGTGATGAATGATTTGTTTGGAGTTTACTTAGGCCACAGCTGTCTCATAACACATAGGTTCTTTCAGACACAGGCTTTTAAAAAGAAACTGGTAATGATTAGAGTTGGGCACAAGATGGAGAGTTCAGATACAGAGCCAACATCGGTGTGGGGGGTATTCCCATACAGGATTTTGACTCCAAGATTTTTATTTTTTCCAAATCTCTGCTGTCTAATTTCACTTCTACTTGATGCTGCTTCTGTTGCTTCTTAAAGCATTCAAGCTGAAATGTTAATGGTTGCTACAACAGTGCCAGGGAAGTTTAAGTAGCTTCTAAAGCATATAGCACAAGGTACAGAAATCAAGTTACTTGCTTCATCTGTAGACTAACAGGTGTCTTCTATAATTA